GCCTCAAGAAGCGGTGAATGCTCCAACACTGGAAGTTTTTAAGAAGAGACTGGACAGCTGTTTGTCTAAAATGGTGTAGGGTTCCTGCCTGGGCAGGGGGTTGGACTCGATGACCTCCAAGGTCCCTTCCAACTTTATTATTATTATTATTATTATTATTATTATTATTATTATTATTATTATAACAGAAGCTACAAAGAACCTGATTTGGCCTTGGCAGGTATCAAGTCAACTCTGAGTAAATGGATTGGCCCTTAGTTGTGTTAATGCTTTCATTTAAGGCAGTTTTGTGGGGGGTATGATAATGAGTCTCGACAAGTGTATATTGATTTTAAGAAGTCAAAAGTTAGTTTTGGAATAAGGAACTATGGCTTAGTTAATAACTACAGCTAATATTAGGCCAGGCCATAAAAGCTTGTTTTACACCTTTTGGGAATAGGGGACATAATTAAGATTGATCCAATTTGTTGTGCAATTTCTAAAAACTAACATTATTCCTGATCCCACGGGTTTCTTTCATTCCTTCTTGGAAGAAGGGATCTGGGAATTAGCATTTGATTTTTCTTTGATTATCTTATTTTCTTTAACGAGGTCACCTGCAAGCTTTCATTTTGCTTTCTCTTGTGCTAATGGGATATTACATTTCCGTGCTGGCTCTGGTGGTGCAGGTCAGCACCCAATATTCTAAAGAAAAGTTCAATTTCAGGACACACACTTGGATCAAACCGTACTTTTGAATTCTGCATCAATTTGAGCAAATTTCAGAGTTTTGATGCGTCAGCACGGCTGGTCTTAGCTGACCTTGGCTGGTCTCAGACGTTAAGCCGTGTCAGCTTGGTTATTGTTTGGATAGGTGTTGGCTAGACTGGGTAGTATAAAAAAACTTGGAAGAAGGATATAGCAAGATGTTTTTATAATGCTGCCAGAAATACCACACAATTTATTCACCAGGAGCCAAATTAAATTCAGAGGCTTTATTTAAAGCTCTTTACAAGGAGTGAATGGTGCCGAGCCATTACTGACCCGTGTTGCTCCAAAAATGTATTATGTTGTGTACATGGACAAACTACAAATGCCACTTGCTCTGTGGTCTACCTGTCCTTGTGGTAGTGAATCTTGCTCTGCCAACATGATTCTTCTGCACCTGGTAATTTATTTTGGTGTATAGCCGGGATCTCCAGACTTGGCAACTTTAAGACTTGTGAACTTTAGCTCCCAGAATTGGCTGGTTGGGGTATTGTGGAAACATTTGCAAGATACTCATTAAAACAACAACAACCTGTTTCAAAATCTGTGCAGGTTAAAGAAATAGAATGACTCTTTGTTTTGGGATAAAATATAAAATTCGACACGAGCCCATTTTCCCCTGTATTAGCCCAGTTAAATTTTTTATCTAGTATTATAAGTTTGCATGAAAATGAGAAAATATATTCCTGGCTTTATACTAGAAACAGAACTAAATGTTTTGCATCACATCTTAAAACAGTAGTTTTGTGTCTTTTCCAAAGTTTCCAAGAAAAGAATATAACTTTCCTGTAGATGAACCGGCAACATCATTGAACGTTCATAAAGTGGATTAAATATCAGGCAGAAATCATAGTGACATTTATTCATCACTAGGGCAAGGATTTCTATGATCTAAAAATGTTAGCGATATGCAAGCATTTATGACCTTAAATTGATCATTTAAATATGATCAATTAAATATGAGTTATAAAGCAAAAATATGACTTTACAATCCGATTTATGCTGCTCATTAAAAGCATGTCTGGTACTGTTCTAATGGAATGTGGGTATAACTTTAGCACACCAAAAACATTTCTCAATTTATTGGTGCAGAAATCATGCTACTAGCAGAATAATGTCCAGTTTTATTTTATTTTAAAAATATTGAGAAATACATTTCCATAGATTTTCATTCAATGTGAATGAGAAGAATATTACATCTATCAACACTGAAATATTTTATTCTTCCTGAGGAAGCTTCACATTTTAGCAATAATAAAGTATAATCTGTACAATATATTAATATTAGCTTTCTGATGTGCAGAACTGGGCAAATATTGCAATAGAAAAATATGCATTTTTCTTGGAATATGTGATTAATATCCGTGTTTCTATTCCTTTTACCTGACTCCCTTTAACATATCTGACATATCTGTTTTAACATTGATTTTTATTTTCACCTGTTTCTTACAGCCAACTCAAGTCACATCAATATTGTTCTGTAAATTACTATGAAGGATTTGTGAAATACACGTATGTCTCTCTTTTTGTGGGTATATATGCACATATGCCTACATTGGCATGAACTCTCACTTAAGCAAGATATTAGATACTGATGTAATTTTTTTGAATGCTTTAAGACCAAAATTTACAGAATACTGGCTCACATTGTAGTGTTTATTCAGAAACTTGCTACAGAACCACTGCATATTGCAGAATAATTCTTTAGGAACTTAATATTTTAGGATAGCCTTTCCCCATACTTCTAGATGTATTGAATTAAACACTCAAAATTTCTCAGCCCATATCTGGAAGGGGCCGCTTGATAGAAACACGGTTTTTGATGTACTCTCTCTTTATGCAAACATTCAGCTAATGAGATCCCATTACTCAGATATCACCAAAAAAAACAACAAAAACCTCCCACATAAAAGTTATCTGCAGTTCTATCGTATTGTGCAGGAATGACTGTACCTCTACAGCATAAAGGAGGAAGTGAATCACTCTTCAGCAAAAAATCTTTTCACAAATGAACAGGAGATTGCATACATGTCCAAGAACAATTTTACATTTGTTCACAAAAGGTAATGACAGAGGGTACAGTAGAAAATCTTGTACATCATATTAAAGTGCTGATTTCTAATAGTTGATGGAAATTGGGCTAAAGCTAAAGACGCTTCCTACTCTGTAAAGTTTTCTAAATTGTGGATGTCTTTCAGCCCACACCAATTTGAAGTGTTTTTTTTAAAGAATATTTAAACTAAGAAAATGTTAACTTTGGCTAGGCAACATTTTATATATTTAATTAACTATACTGTATGGATTTCAATAGAACAGAACAATGTTTTTATTCCTCGTATATATTTTAGCTTACACTCAACCAATACTGACAATATTGTTTTGATGTGAAGCACCATGGGACAAATGGCAGTAAGGTAAATTTGGCTTATAATAGTATTTAACTATTAACATTGATCATCACTACTTAATACCAGCCGAAATTTCATCACATCTTTAAAATGAAAATTGTGCATATTGCTTTTGAAGGCAAAACAGCACATTATTTGTTTAAATTTATTTTTATATACTTTATTAGCTTTTATTATTTATTGATTAGTATCAATTGTGGGCTTAATAATAGGATGGATATGTCCAATGCTTTCCCCAGATAGAACAGAAGGTATAAAAATGTTTGGTTTTTATCTTCTTTCTCTTGATCTTTTTCTTTTAAATTCTTATCTAAATATGGAGAAAGCGAGAAAGAAGCAATTGCATACTTAAATCAATATAACTTTATTGTGGCTTCAAATGTCTCTGTGCTTCTAATGGAACCATGATTGCCACAACACTCTGTTGAAAGTGGTTTGTGAACATGTTCCGTTTTCTTGCTGTCAGTCAGGACTGTGGGATCTCTGTACATAAACTGTTGTGTGAATGTAAAAGCTGGTGACAACGGAAGGACCTGTGGGCATGTTAGCGTCCTATAAGCTCTTGGTTTTAATATGTAACTCATTTACATTACAAAACAATATCTCCCAAAGGATAATGGAACGAACACGGGACAGCAGGAGCACTCCAGTATCTGGCACTTTTCCTGATCCATATCCAGATTGATATGTATTTTTTGCCCTGATGTAGCATAGCAGCTGAGTTAAGGCACCCATCCATCTTTTCTAGAAATCTTCACAGCCATGAAAACTCCCAATTCTGATGATATGATGAATAGACACTAATGTATTCTCATAGACGCATATTCCAGTAACGGTAATTCTTACCTACTAATATTACTCATTGTCTGATCTCAATAACTAAGTAGTGTCAAACTTAGATGGAAGCAACCAGAAAATGCCAGAGCCATGAGTTGGACTGAGGAGTCTCAAAAAAAAAAAAAAAAAAAGTTCTGGAAGAAGGCAATGCCAAACTGCTTCTTTATTGTGTTGATGTTATTCCCAGAATTTAGGCCAAGTGGGAGGAATCCTTACTTTTTAAAATAATATCTATTTTTACTCCACATTCACTGATTTAAAATCTGGTTCTATGTTTTGAAACCAGAACCGTGAAGTGGGAGTAAGCTTGGCATTTTGTGCTACATTTCTGTCACCTTTTTAAAAAGTCACCATTGTAATTCAACTAATTGAAAACTGAGCAGAGGAGGTAATTTACAAAATCAACATGACAGAGAGAGACATACAATATTATTAAAGTGATAGGAATAAACTATATAAAATTGTAAATATTTGTTCTGTTTTTGAACCATTATATAGATCCTCTCTTGAAATTTAACCCAAACATTTGAAACTTGCTGCTTGATGCCACATCTACAGCAGGGGTAGTCAACCTTGGCTCTTTTATGACTCGTGGACTTCAACTCCTAGAATTCCTGAGCCAGCTGTGCTGGCTCAGGAATTCTGGGAGTTGAAGTCCACGAGTCATAAAAGAGCCAAGGTTGACTACCCCTGATCTATAGGATGGTCTCTAAGAATAATCCATTTACCAACCCTATTGCATTGAATAGGAGTTACATGATGGATTTTCATATTTCCGACAGAGGTGAAGGTCATGATAGATTAAGCTTTGTGCTACATCCATCTATCCTTCTATTGTTACAAAGCCCATGTACTGTTAGAGATAAATGCATATAATTTTTTAGAATCCAGTTGCCAATATAACACACATATCTCAATCTTTTGTTTCCGGTTGAAGACCTTTAGTTCTGATGAAGTTTCCTGGAAACTTAAGATTGCTCGTATTTTAAGTCAAGAAGAGTCCTTGTGCTATCTCACTTTTTGCAACTCCTGTCTCAGCCACGATGGTAGTGGTTGTCCCAATTTGTGTAGAAGCTTTGATAGTTCCACATTGTGATCTCTGTAGTAGCTTGACAGAAAAACCCTGCACTGATGGATACAAAAGCTGACATTTTATTTAGTGAAATAATGCAGTTGCCTTATTTATACTTCTACCTTTTCACTTATTTGCATTTGAAAAATATATAAATATATTAATAGATGACTAATGAACAGACAAATATTCTTATCCATCTAGCAGAGATTGCATGCCAGGAAGAAAGATGAGAAAGTATACATGATTTCCCTTTGAATTTCAGTATCTAGGTTGCATATTTGTGTCCTTTTTAAAATATTACACGACTTATAAGCTCAAGAAGCATAAAATGCAGGCTTAGTACTTCCCCTTCCCAAACAACTGATCAGTGATTTTCAATCCATTTTTGAAATAGTTCTGTCAATACTCTTTAGTATGAATATGTTAAATGTATATTAAATCTGCTGAGCATCATGTGGGGTTGTGGCATGAAATGAATGAAATCAATGTATAAAACCAATAATTATTCTCAGCAAAACTTTTCAGCTAGTCCAGCTAATATATTTTAACACTGAATGATTTGACTTTCTGGGTTATAGGAAAACCTCTTAACTTACAGATTGGCAGATAAGATTCTATTTCTTTGAATATTCTTCATTTTTCCTCAAAATAAATATAGAAGCAATCAGCCTCAGTAGAATGGGAGCAGATTATGCATGATTAGCAAATAAGATCAGATAAAATTAATTATTTCTGCTAAATACTAAGTAATTTTTAATGACAATCCATATGTGATTGTGTCCTAAATGGGCACAATCTAGTACCAACAACACATTTTTAAGTGCCACAAATTTAAAGGGCAAAGTTTTCCCCCACAAAATTTGTTGTATGTCAACATAGTGGACTTTATCCATTGTACATGTAAAATAAGGGTTTACCTCAGAGTCCATTGGAGGGTATTTTCTCCCTTTGCTCTTTCCAAGACATTTTGTTTTTCCTTCTTCCAGAAGTTGACACCAAAAACCTTTGTGTGAGTCAAACCTGAAACATATACTACATTTAAACTCAATAAATGCTTTCATTTCCTAGTTAGGCAAATGATAGTCAACCCTTTTTATTGCCTTGTCTGCATAACCTTAAGCCTACTCTTTATGACCTCCAGACGGAATTAACGTGACTGGAGCCAGTAATTCAGCCAGCTACTATCTTGTTCTGTCCTATAGGAAGGACATTGTTATTACTCCTCATTCATATTTTTAATGGAGGTCCAGAATATATTGACAGAAGGAACAAAAAATGGTTTTCCTGACTTCTTTATGCTCCTGGTATCAGCTATTTTCCCCACACCTGGGAAGTAGAAGAACAGGAAAAAGACTATCGCTCACAAGAGAAACCAAATGACACAAAATACAAGATAAATCTACACCTTAATGATTGAGCATATGATTTTTCACATTTCAGGTATGGTATCCGGAATCTGGTATCTGGAATTTCCAGGATAGAATGGATATGTTTTTGCCAGAAAGTTCTTGCAAGGCCAAGACAGACTGATAATCTGACTCACTATTCTTCCAATTTGGCACAGTGTAACAGAGTTATAAAGAATATATATACAAAGTTATAGAGAATATATTTTAAGATTTCTTAATCAAAACGTTTGGCAGACCATGTTATTAATTCTCAGGATTTTCCAGGTCAAGAAAATTAGATTGTAAAGCATTAAAATACACACACATGGATTGATTTTATGTATTTCTATCTTCTATACATAATTTACAGGTTGTGATACATAAAATTTTCCTAATGTTCACATTTATGCATATGTATCAATGATTATCTTGATAATCTATTGATAATATATAACAACAATTATCATGCTCAATGCCAACATAGGATTTGATATATACAATATTGGCTTGGTTTGCATATTGTACTAAGTCAATGATCAGCACATTTCTTGAAAGAAATAACTAATACATTGTCTCTGCCTCCTCACAAACACAACAGTGGGATGCTTAAGAGATCACTGCGTGTTCTAGATTTACACTACCTCATTGTACGGATTATTTTTGTAACAAACGTGCACCACATTTGGTGTCATTGGTTTCAGCAAAATTGGTTGATTATTTGCTAGCTTGTAAACTGAAATAAGAATATCCAAGGCTAAAATAATTCAAAAAAAATAAGAGTGCTGGAATGAAATAAGAGCTTTTGAAAAAATAAATTGTTTTAAATGAAAACATTTAACAAATAGTTTTGTCCAAGAAAGAAAGATAAGCACTTTGATTTAGATGCAGTTGGTAATAATTCACAGTATTTCAGATTAAGCGCTCTGAAGTAAAAGAAGTAGAAAACTGAACAGAACTGCTCTAGAAGTGAATTTGATCCATTTTCTCTTTTGCCGACAATCAACTTTATCTCTCAGTAATTAAAGTCAATTTGCTATACATGCCACAACAAAACAAACAAACAAAAGCAGAGTTGACTCAGAGGCACGAAACAGAGCTAGGAACGGACACCATATTATTCTGAGTGTTTCTTATGAGAACAGATATCAAGATCCCATACAAAGACATGTAGACCAAGGTTATCAATCTCTTTTTAAGGGCAAGTGAATAAATGGTTTAAGTTCAAATGGTCTCTGTGTGTAATTATTTATTACAGATACCCCGGATGCCATTGTGTTTTTCTGTCAAAGTAAAAGAAGATGAGATTTGGTTCTTCTTGCTTTTGGATGAAAAATCTTTTGCTGTAAGTGGAAAAATGAGTGGAAAAAAGGCATATCATTCTATTTGCCAGTTTAAAAGGCAGAACCAGTTTACCGGATGCAGTCCTCCCTTTGTTTCAGCTTCTGCCCACTCTGAAATACTTCACTATATTCATTTTAAAGGAAGATTTATGGAAATTCAATGGTGGTGAATAGTTGCTAGCGTTCTTCTGGTTTAATGGAGTAGTATTTGAGCAAATCCCAAAATATAATGCTGATATTATCAAATTAATAATATACTTGTTATTAATCACAATGATTTATCATTCATTGATTGATATATTAATTGTTTCTTTGGGAATGTACTTCCAAGAGAAATGTTAGAAGTATATCTTTTTGAGAAAAAGGGTTTAAAAAAACGTTTTAGAGAGAAGAAATAAAGAAACAATTATATTATGGCTTTTAAATAGGATATTTGACCAAGGCGTGTATTCCTTAGTCTGTGTATCCATGTACATTGCTCTTTTATATTCTTTTTGTAGAAGTAAAACAGAATATTTCTAATCATAGTTTTCCCTTTCTTCCAAATCTTGTAACCCCAATTTCTTAGCTTAGAAAAATAAGCATTAATTATAGACTGCCAGATTCAAACATAGCTTATATGAAGGTATAAAATATTTATGCATATTTTGATTTATCAAGCCAAATTACAATCGTATGAATTCCTTTATTTATTCTGTACAATTTAATTGCATATAATATGTTAAATCAACAATTTAACTCACGTTAAAGCTTCTGAATAATTATAATGAGGAGTAACTCCCAGAAACCTCTGCACTTCTTCCATTACTATAGCTGGGTCATTTCTCAACTGCTGTCCATCAATAATTAGTAACTGCAAAGAAAGAAGAAAGAAAGAAAGAAAGAAAGAAAGAAAGAAAGAAAGAAAGAAAGAAAGAAAGAAAGAAACCAACAATCAATTCTGCATTCAAGATTTTATAAACAGCAACTTGAAGCTTATTTTTTCACGTATGTGAAGTACAGTTTTAGAAAGGAAGGGATATACAAATTGAATAAGGTTTAAATCCATTCATATTTATCATCAATTTTAATAATTTGACATTTCATCAATGTTGATTTCATTACATGAAATTGATCTGAATTGGAAACTGCTTGATATACCACTAGTGACTGAGAAATAAAATGAGGTTTCCAGAGAAACCAAATCGATTAGTAAGAAATTAAATGAGATTTACCTTGAAAAATGTATATGCAAGTTTCAAAACGGCAAACTATAAAAATATGCTTATCTTCCAATGTGTAAAAATATTAGACTCACTACCTTTCACCAGGCTTAAGTCTAGGAATCCAATTTGGGATAACATATCACAGTCTTACGATCTAGATGAAGATTGGTGATTAAGATGGGCAACTTTTAATAATCACAACCAAACAAATAACATAGATCCAACAAATCCATTTCCAGGAATGCGGTTGTCTTGAAAACTATGGAGCCACCTGAATAGAATCAGGACAGGCCATGCCAGAACTAAGGCAAAGCTCTTTAAGTGGGGGAGGGCCGAGAATCCGCAATGCAACTGTGGTGCTCCAGAACAACTAGAACACATATAGTTGAAGAAAGTCTCCTCAAGAAATTTCAAGGCACCTGGGATGATCTCATGGCAACCATACCAGAAGCAGTTAGATGGTTAACTTCCTTAGATATTGAATTATAATATCTATCCTACAGCAATTCTATGGCTCCATATTATAGTGATTTCATTATGGTTTTATCTTAATTTAATATACTGTATTGTCCATGTTGTGTCCTGAGCCTGCAAAGGCAGGCTCGGGACGTTGCAAGAGTCCCGGGCATTTGCAGAAGCTGCCCGGGACAAGACTGAGTGGCGCCGGCCTTGCGCACATGCGCAAGGCGGGAAAAGAGAGCATTGTGATTGGTTGAACTTGCCCGGGGATCTGAAGGTATAAATAGAGGCCTGCGTGCCTCTGCTCGGGTTGTTCGTGTTATGGAAGCAGAGAATAAAGACTTGTTAGAAATGCTTCGTCTCAAGCGCCATTATTCTCCAGACTTAACACTGGCGACGAAGGTGGGATTCAGTCTATACAGCTAGGAAAGCTTGAAGACTCACCCAAAGAAGTCCGGAAGAGAAAACGGCGTGGAAGTCAGCGTTATCCTGCCAGTACGAAATCGCTGGAGGGTGCGGGCGGCTGAAGAAGAAGAAGACCTGATCCTCGATCATGGCGAAAGTTGGGCGTTTGGCGGAATTCGACGTTTCTCACCCCGAGAGGTGGGAATCTTATGTTGCAAGAGTCGAGACGTATTTCCGCATAGACCAGATTCGGGAG